CAAATGCCAACTGTGACTCAGAACACCACACAAACTGATCCTTCTTCAGAAGAGAAGTCAAAGGTTTGGCCAGCACTCCATAATTGCGAACAAACCTGCGGTAATACCCCGTGAGACCAAGAAACCCACGAAGTTTCTTCATCGAAGTAGGAGTAGGCCACTTATTCATTGCCTCTATTTTAGCATCATCAGTCGCTACACCCTTCACAGAGATAATGTGGCCTAAATATTCGACCTGCTCTACACCAAAAGAACACTTCTTCTGGTTAGCAAACAGTTTCTGAGCACGCAACACTTCCAACACTTGACCCAAATGCTCCACATGCTGAGACCAAGTAGGGCTATAGACGAGGATGTCATCAAAAAACACCAGAACAAAGTGTCGCAAAAACGGTTTGAACACCTTGTTCATCAGTGCCTGAAATGTAGCAGGAGCATTGGTGAGGCCAAATGGCATCACCAAAAACTCGTAATGGCCCTCCACAGTACGAAACACATGTTTCTCAATATCAGCGTCAACCATGCGAATCTGATGATAGCCTGACCTTAAATCCAGTTTAGAAAACACAGTAGCACCATTTAACTCATCAAGCAACTGATCTATAATTGAATAGGATACTTATCAGGTACTGTGGCTTTGTTGAGGGCCCTATAGTCCACACAAAAGCTGTGAGACCCGTCTTTTTTCTTCACCAACAAAACAGGACTCGAGAACGGACTTGTGCTAGAACGAATAACCTCAGAAGCAAGCATTTCAGTCACCATATCTTCCATCACCACCTTGCTAGCATGAGGGTACCGATATGGTCGTACCGACACGGCTGACACACCAAGAAGCAATGTAATGGCATGTTCTTGACCACGTATGGGAGGTAAACCCACTGGTAGAGCAAAAACATCCACGTATTGAACTAACAGTGTCTGAATAGGAACAGCCAACTCTGGAATCAGTTCTGACACGGAAGAAGACGCGACCACAACATTAGCACACACAGATCTTCCTTTATTGCTCGGCAACAGGGATTTGAAAGACAGTTTAGGACAATGTAAGGACCTATCTCCCACAAGAGTCACTCTCCGTCCCTTATACAAGAAAGACAGTGTCTGTGGCTTCCAATCAACCTCGCACTTGCCCAACATTTCTAGCCACTGCACCCCGAGAATCACGTCTACATTCCCAAGCTCCAGAGCAATAAAATCTGAGGAAAAATCAGTGTTACTGAGTTGAAAAGTCACATTCCTGCAAACACCCTGAGCTTATATTGTAACACCATTCCCCAACAAAACATCCATGTTGTTATCGGCACTTAACAACAATCTCAACTTACTCACCGCAGTGGGTGAGATGAAATTGTGGGAAGCCCCACTATCCAACATCACAATCACCTCCTTACTCTGTATATGTCCTTTCAATTTTGTTGTCTTAGGAGAATCGACTCCCATGAACGAACTGAAAGACAAAGTACACATCTCCTGAACTTCAGACGTCTCCATCTCCACATCATCCCGAACATCAACCACCTCCATCTCCAAGCCATTAACCACCGTCAACACACGTAAAGTCTTGTTAGGACAGTCATGTGTCTTTGACCATGGAGCTTTACATTTAAAACAAATCCTATCCCTTCTCATAGCATCCAGTTCAGCGTCTGTATATTGTTGGCGAGGACGTGGAACATATTTCTGGACCAATGCATTCTCTTTATTCTGGCCATAATTCCACCGAAGTGTCTCTTTCGGACCAGAAGAAGAGGAACCACCCTTAGGCGCAGAAGAACGGTAAGTACTACTCTTAGTATCACCAACCGCTGCACCTCCCAACATTTTACAAAAAGCACTACTCTCCATTCTCAACACTGCTGCAATGTAATTAGTAAGACCTTGTGGATCTTTCATCCTAATTACCTCCTTCATCTCCTGAGACAATCCATTGTAAAAAATACGCTCCAAATGATGATCATTCAAACCCAACCACCTGTGCAGAGAGCGTCTCAAACTCAGATACATAATCAGCCACCGTACTTGTCTGTTTGATAGCGAACAAACGTGTCTCTGGTTCTTCATCAATCGACTCCGCAAAACGCACCAACAACCTCTGTTTAAACTCCCCCCAACTGTGGAAACCACCGCGATGCATCACCCAGGTGAACCACTTCTTAATCTTCCCTTTTAAACACAGAGGCACCAGATCAAGCTTCGCTTCGTCAGAGTAACGTCCCAACGTGTAAAAATGTTCAACATCCACAATCCAATCCAACACCAAAGTACCATCACACACAGGCATCTCCAACTTTTTTAACATACTATCACGATTATCCAAATGCAAATTCTCAGCTCGGTAACCTAACGGAACAGACCGATTTGGTTCCCGATACGAAGGATATACCTGAGAACTTGAATGAGAAAAATCCGACGGAGGAATAAACTCCTGAACCGGCGTCCTCCCCACAGATTTCACCATCGACTGGACAGATGACGCAAGATTCGTCATCGCCGCTTCCATCGTCGTCAGCTTCCCCTCCATAGAAGATACCGTGGAATTCGTCAACGCCTGTTCCTCGTTCAATCGAGAAAACGCGCCCATTAGAAACGAAACGTCACCACGAACCTTCTCATCCAGCTCTTCACCCTCAAAACCACCACCAGAACGCACCGGAGTAACACTCGTCAACATCGTAATCGCCGTATTCAAACTTATCACCGCACCAATGATAGATTTTGGATATCTCTAACTCTGTAACTTTGTAAGTAATGAAAAGGAATATAATAGCTCGAAGTATGAACACGATTACAATCTCATAACGATAGTAAAAGCATTCATCGATCTCATAACGATCGAGAGAGAAGACTCATATCGTCTATCTTCTACAACATTCAAGCATAAAACTACTAAAAGTGTTTCTCAGAGTATTTATTCGAATTCAGTTTGAAAAGTGATCTAACGGCAAAGTCTCCCTTTCCAAACGAATCTTTGCTTCCTTCTTTATTTATCAAACCTTCTCTCTCATTCTGAGTCTTTAGTCTTCTCCTCATTCAAACTTTTCCCTCCAACCGAGTTCTCCTTAACCTCTGCCACACTCAAACCTTTTCCACTCCTCCTCTTCCGATAGTAAGTATTATGAAATCTATCATAAACACTTGACTCCAAAAATTGACTATGCTACAAGTCACAGATTCGATTAACTGCAGCCTGTCAGCAAATGAGCGGCTCTTATTTGTCCATGCCAACATTCTCTTTCTGATTTTGTCAATCAAAGGTTCATAATCATGTTTAGAGAGTGCTTTCGTTGGCAGAAGTAGTCCCAAATCCCTGATAGATAGAGGCCCAACATAGATTTCATACTGCTCAGCTTCTTGATAAAGCTCCGTCAAGTTACTTCCAAAAGCATATAATGATGATTTCGAAGCATTAATATACAAACCAGACATTTTTGCATATCTTCTCATACTCTCCATCACACCCCGCAGCGAATTTTCACTACCATCTGTAAACACCGAGGATCTTGTCAGCGAAACTTAAATGGGTCAACTAAACAACTTGGCATTGAGAATGATATCCAAATAGCCCCTCAGATACAACCTGGTTTAAGAGTTTGGAGAAGACGTTATTAAGAATGACATACATATAGAGGATAGTAAGCATCCCTGTCTGATTCCTTTCACACTAGAAAAGAAATCTTCTAGGTTCCCATTAACTGAAACAGAGAAAGAACTTTTGAAATATAGACCATTATTCACTAAATAAACAGAGCTTGCAGACCCATTTCCCAGAGGACTGAAGATATGAAGGAGCATTTTAGCAGTATCAAAAGCTTTAGTAATGTCAAGCTTAATAGTGCACATATTCAAGTCTGTTAAGATATATGTTTACAGATATATTTATAATATCAATTTTACATATTAAATATTCATTATAAACATTTTAAACTTAATAAATTATTCTATAATTATTTTAATAAAAATAGAGATAATGTTTAGTTTAGTGGTTATAAAAAAAACTCTAAACTGCAAAACTATGTTATTTTCAAAAAGTTTATTATATAAATAAAATATAGTGGGTATGTTTTTAGGAAATTTCTGTAAATAGTTTTTAAGATAATAAATATAGTGTTACATTTTGAAAATAAAATGATAACTGAGAGAAATTATATATGATTAATTATCTTTTTAATTTTGGAATATTTTCTTAATTAGTTGTTTGATTGATATTAGTTAATTATCGTATCTAAATAAGAGAGTGATATTACCTTGTAAATAATTTCAAAGTAAGAGATTTTTTTGCTTTAAAAGTATAGAAGTAAGTATAGATTGAAATATTATATACAACGAACCAGAATGTGATACAGGAAACGAGATACCAGTAATGCTACGTTAACAGTAGCACATCATCAAAGAGTTGAAAGGAAAGTTCAAGTATATAATTAAAATGAAACATCATGACGATTAGATCATCGACAAAAGTCTGAAAATATTTTTTTAGCTATATTCTTCCTCTATTCTCTATGTTTTGTAGAAACCTAGTGGTTACTCATCAATGGCTGAGAATCTTTTTCTTCCTTTTAGATTCTAATTATGTGATTGTGGAATCCGCATTTTATGAACTGATTTCAAACTCTTTCAGTTCTACAAAGAGATAGAGTTTCCCTCTATCAAAGATCAGAATGTGTTCAACTACGCCTATTACTCTATTTCAATCTTTCAATAAGATTATCCTAAAGCTAGTTATTTTCATCGAACCGAACTTATGTACTAAAGCAAAAGCTAGTTATTACAGCCTATAATTATTATACATTTCTATTCTAAAAATAAATAACTTAGTAATTTTTTTTTTATAAATTTTGTAAGAGTTTAATTATTATACTTTTATAATACTATATATATATATTTAATACTAGATATAATTTTTAATATAAATTTTTCAAAAAAAAAGTTTGTATATGGGCCAGTGCCCCTTATACTCAGCAGGCACTGGTTACATTACAGTCTAGAGAATAGAATATATGTTGAACATTTTTTCTTCAATTACTCTTTCAGCGTATTCAATTTCTTTAAACTTAACCAACTTTTGTGCCACTGGCAGCTCGGAGACTGAATTTCTCGACAAAGTCACCAAGGAGACTATGAGGATGCTGAATCGTTTATCTCCATGTAAAATCCAAGGCTTTCCAGGTATTGAACCACGATCAAAGGAACTGGAGGAGTTATTGATGTTTGATGATGATGAATGTGTCCGTACCATCGGAGTTCTTGGCATGGCTGGTATCGGCAAGACACTGGTTGCTGATAGCGTATATAAGCGAAACTGCGGAAATTTTGCTGGCTATGCTTTCGTTGACGATATTGACAAAGAGTTGGAATGGCATCAGTTGTGTCATTTGCGGGAGAAACTCCTCTGTAAACTATTGGAAGCAGCAAGTTTGGATAAAGAGCGCACAGTTGGGAAAACTATCTTTGGAAAAACAAGTTCTTTATCGTGCTTGATAATGTGACGGATAAAGAACAGATAGATGTTATCATTGGAGATAAATCAGTGTACGGACAAGGAACAAGGATTGTTATAATAACCAGAGACAAGAAGCTGTTGCAGAACAAAGCAGATGCAACATATGTTGTCCCGAGATTAAATGACAGGGAAGCTATGGAGCTTTTCTGCATGAATGCATTCCCCGGGAACCTCTTCCCCCCGGAAGAGTATATGGATCTGTCATACAGTTTTGTAGACTATTCTAAAGGGCTTCCGTTAGCGTTGACGTTATTAGGATCCGATCTACTTGGGAACGATAAAACATACTGGACGGAGAAATGGAAGAGCTTAAAGGTAATGCCAGACAAGGAGATTCAGAAAGTGCTAGAAAAGAGTTATGAAAAACTAGATTATAAACAGAAGAGCATATTTATGGACCTAGCATGTTTTTTCAGGTCAGAAAAAGCAGATTTTGTTTCGACCATCCTGAAATCAGACCGTGTCAATGCTGCAGCTGTGATGACAGAACTTGAAGATAAATTCTTGGTAACTATTTCTTATAATAGGCTTGAGATGCATGGTTTATTCCATACAATGGGGAAAGAAATTGGATATGAATCATCGGTGAAAAGAGTTGGCAAACGTAGTAGGTTGTGGAACAACAAAGATATTCGTCATGTCCTGGAGCGGAACACGGTAAGCTACATTTGATATGGTTCTTCTTGTATTGGTTTCTGCTAAACTTTACATGTTCCTGAATCATTACATTTTCTTGCTACCAGGGCACTGAGTATGTTAGAGGCATCTTCTTAAACATGTCTAATGTCGAGAGGATCAAGCTTAGTCCTGCTGCTTTCAAGAAGATGTCAAATCTCAAATTCCTGAAATTCCACAATTCTCATTGTTCTCGGTGGTGTGACAATGACCATAAGTTCCAGTTCTGTGAAGGGCTTGATCATTTTCCAGATGAGCTCGTGTATCTTCACTGGCAGGGGTATCCTTACGATCACCTCCCATCAGACTTTAATCCGGAGGAACTTGTCTACTTAAATCTGCGTTATAGCTACATTAAAGAACTGTGGAAAGAGGAACAGGTACATGCTCAGCTTATTTTCTTTATCTGAAAACATTATTCTTTGGTTTCTCTGCTGATTAGTTCTTTTTATCATTTGTCTCCATGTCACAGAATACAGAAAATCTTAGATGGGTTGACCTCAGTCATTCAAAAAGTTTTCTGAATTTATCAGGTTTGTCCAAGGCCAAAAATCTTGAAAGACTTGATCTCGAAGGCTGTACGAGTTTGGCAGTATTGGGCTCATCAATCAAACAGATGAACAAACTTATTTACCTGAACCTTCGAGAGTGCACAAGCCTTAAGAGTCTCCCGGAGGGAATCAACATAATATCTTTGAAGACTCTGATCCTCAGTGGATGCTCAAACCTTCAGGAGTTTCATATTATATCAGAAAACATCGAATCTCTTTATTTGGACGGCTCAGAAATTGAACAAGTTGTTGAACACATCCAAAGTCTTGGCAACCTTATATTGCTAAATCTCAAGAACTGTAAGAGGTTGAGGTTCCTTCCCAACGATTTTTACAAGCTGAAATCCCTTCAAGAACTGATTCTCTCTGGCTGTTCAGCGCTAGAGAGTCTTCCACCCATCAAAGAGAAGATGGATTTCTTAGAGATTTTGCTTATGGATGGAACGTCCATCAAACAGACACCTGAAACAAATTTCTTCAGTAACCTCAAAAAGTTTTCGTTCTGTGGATCTAGTATAGAAGATTCCACAGGGCTGGCTTTCTCAGGCAGCTCTCGTGTGTCAGATCTTTATCTCATGAATTGCAGTATCAATAAATTGCCGGACAGCTTTAGTTCTTTACACTCACTGCGGTGTCTATGCTTAAGCAGAAACAACATTGAGACTCTGCCTGAGAGTACTGAGAACCTTCATTGTCTGTTGGTCCTTGACTTGAAACATTGCCGCAGGCTCAAATCTCTCCCGGTGCTTCCATCTAATCTACAGTATGTAGATGCTCACGGGTGTGTTTTTCTGGAAAAAGTTAGAAAACCAGTGACGCTTCCACTAGTAACTGAAAGGATGCAGACTACTTTCATATTCACAGATTGCTTCAAGCTGAGCCAAGCTGAACAAGAAGCTATTGTAGCTCAGGCCCAACTCAAGAGTCAGCTACTGGCAAGGACATCTCTTCAGCATAGTCATAAGATTCATTTCAGTCTTACCCTGTTGTTCTAATGATACACTGATAATTCGCTCATTCTTATATGGTTTTTCTGTAACCCGTTTCAGGGACTAGTTCTTGATCCTCTGGTTTCGATTTGTTTTCCTGGAAGTGACATACCCTCATGGTTCTGCCATCAAAGAATGGGATCGTCGATAGAAACCGACCTGCTTCCACACTGGTGTAATAGTAAATTTATTGGAGCTTCCTTGTGTGTTGTTGTCTCTTTCAAGGATTATGAAGGTCAACATGCCAATCGTTTATCTGTAAGATGCAAGTGCAGTTTCAAAAATCAAAACGGCCAGTCTATCAGCTTTACTTTCAGTCTTGGAGGATGGAACGAGTCGTGCGGATCATCTTGCCATGAACCACGCAAACTTGACGCTAATCATGTGTTCATTAGTTATAACACCTGTAATGTGCCAGTATTCAAATGGAGTGAAGAGAGTAATAATAGATGCAATTCCACTAGTGCCTCCTTTGAATTCTACCTTACAGATGAAACTGAAAGGAAACTAGAAGGCTTTAAGGTGATGAGGTGTGGAATGAGTTTGCTATATGCTCCAGATGAGAATGACCGTGGAATTCAGGGAAAAAGGGTTACAGAAATTGTTGAGAATACATCGAGTAAGGCCTTTGTGCCTGTGCGAGGTCGGTCCCATTCACAGGTTGAAGAAAGAAGGAATGGTACAATAAGAGATAAATTCCCTTGTGAGTGTTTACTCCATATGGAACGGACCACCTGCCTCGGAGTTAAGGAAAGCTTTTAAAATGGCTATGATGGAGAAGGAGAAAGCTTTAGCATGGTATCTTATCGCATCTCACCACAATCAACCTCTCTTCTTTTTATTTTTATATATTTTGAACTTGTATAAGCTGTCGTTATTTGTTGGCTGTATGATAAAATCCCTTAGTTTCCTCCGAGTTATCATACCACAACATTTTTTCCATGGCAGATAAAATAAATTTGGTTTCCAACTCATGTGATGGTTCTGCTTAGTTTCTAATTTGGTTCTGCTATAAGGCATGCCCAAGAGCTCTCTCCTTCATAGTTGTAGCTTTAGGTGATTCTTGATCCCAAGACTGACGGTTTGAATAGTGATGATACTTGAGATCAGTAAGATGCTTCACCATTTTACTATAAGCAATGTTTGCTTATGTTAATCATTTTAGTAAGATGTACTAGTTGAAAATCTTGATTTCGGATACTTCTACCTGCTAGAAATATTATAAGCAACAAATTAGAAAAAAAAATTGAAAACATAGAAGGATGAATTTTCTTTATCAATGATGCAAATCATAAGTTACAAACTTGTAACTCAGTTTTAAGTCTCAAAACTCAATCTTTTAGTTTGATTGGGAATGAATTTTCTAAACCATATAAAATATTGTGGAATCATGAGGATGCAGTACTCAGCAAATGTCAAACCTTCATAAAAATCCCAACAGTCCATTTTTTGTTGGCTCTGCCGATGGTTTTTTTTTAAAAACTTGTCGACTGATGATATTTACCGTTAAGATAAACAAGAAATGATAGACTACGGTAACTGTAATGGATTTGTACCTGTAATTATGTATTGTGTTGAATCTGAAATCGGTGTACATGATAAGTGCACAATTTCAATTTGAGGTTTAGGAGAAGTCTTTAAACTGAAAACAGAATTTGACGTATGAACATCAAAGTTTTACTATGTTATAACTAAACTCGATTAAAGGCTGTCTATGTACCTTTTGAATAGGAGATGCAAGCCAATTCTAGTTCATTACAAGAGAGTTCAGACTAGTTCTCGACTTTCTATATATAAGTGTCAAGATGATTTTATTTTAATATCATTCCTTAGACTTGAAGAGTCTATTTATTTATATAAGTAATGCGGTGTATATTTTTTTATAGGCTTTTCTTTTACTTTATAAGGTATTTTGAATTTCAGCATCCATATTTTTTTAGCTGATTTCTTTTCTCTTGTTATCTTCTTATTTTTTTCCATTTAGTACATTGACCATATTATATTGAATAATTTCTTTAAAAAGAGTGCTAAATCCATCTCCACATAGAACTTATGGTTAAATGTTATACAAAATAGTGGTATTCTAAAGATTGTGCTTCATTTAAACTTTTGCAAATTTGCTTTAATTTCTATTTGATTGTAGTAAATTCGTTGTTTAAGCTTATTCACACGAATAGAAACACATATACATTATATACAAACATCATTCATTAACAAACAGCTTATACAACAGTGATTCACATTAGCATAAACCGGAAATAAAGGTGATTCGTAGAATGATTCCATCATTCATACTTGATAAGGCGCTTGTGTGATACAGACTTTCATAAAGGAAAAAGAATGACTCGGAAATACTTTAAGGATACAACAGACCGAAGAATGTATAAAATGTAAATTAAACATTAGCAACACCAAAAGACAAGAGAAAGAAACATAATTTGAGTCTATGATAATTCTTTAATCTCACATGGAACATAGTTAATGACTAGACAGCATAGTTAGGAGGGTAGGGTTGTGCTCCGGTATTGTAACCTTGATTGGCTTGTCGTGCGGCCGGGTAGGCCGTTGGCATTGCTGGTCCACCAACATTAGTTATCCCTTGATGTCGACCCATGTAGAAGCATCCTACACAACCAGCGATGGCTAGGAACACCATGAATATGAACAATGGTAGTGAAAAATACACAATGATCATCGCTTAAAAATCTCTGGTTTTTCGTTAAACTGAGAGAAAAGAGAAATATATAAAGATTAGAATAGGGAATGAAGAAGCATATGAAGAGAGTTTCATGTATTTATATAAGCGAATGCTGTTGATGTGTTCCTGCAAAGTGCAAAGTATTGACTTTTTAAAGGAAATGCAAGAAACATAAGATAGTAAAGGATGGACAAGTGTTCTTTATTAATTAGATAGAACAGAGAAGAAAATTTTGTGTATCAAAAGTCAGATGATCGATCACATGAAAAAAATGAAATTAATAGGTTGATCAAATTTATTAATAAATGCCGTTTTAACGTTGCGACTTAATCATTAACATTTGTTATTTACTACTATGAGTTTATTCAGTCTTAGGTTTTTTGAACCATGCATTAACATTTGTTTCATTTGGTCGACTATTTATCTGGTGAAAAAACTAGCTGGCTTAAGTGTGTGAAATTAATATAGTTACATATAAAATATTTTATCTTGATTCAAATTTTCCAAATTTAAAGGGATTATATTAGAAAGTTTCCTATTCTCTCTAAGGTTACGTCTTAAGTCGGCTTATGCCTTTTTATATATACTTATGTTCATTGTCAATACAAATCAACACATTACCTTATATTTTATGGTATCAGAACTAATAGATCTCATGACCTAAAATTTTTTTTCTCTCGATCTCTACTATTGATCTTCTTCTTCTTCCTTCTATTAATTCTATCCATCACTCTGAATAGCGGAACACAATACACCGCTCTCTACTACTTCTACTACTTCTACAAACACGCAGGCTACCTCCAGAGATTTCTCACCATAATATCTCAGCCATTCTGACAATCTTGGAGCTCTTATTACACCTGTTCTACTTACTCAAGAGAATTATACTGAATGGTCTACTGAGCTTTGCAATTCTTTGCAAGCCAAGCAGAAACAGGTTTTATTGATGGTATCATACCAAAACCAGAAGCCGAACCTGACCTGTCACGATGGCTTGCAGTAAACTCAATGATCGTTGGCTGGATCCGTACATCCATTGATTCAAAACTCAGATCAACCGTTACTCATGTACCTGAAGCACACAAGCTTTGGGAATCTTTACGATTCCGCTTCTCCGTCAAAACAGCACTCGTCTACATCAACTACAAGACGAGATTACAAATTTCAAACAGAATGGACAAACTGTTCTTGAATACTATGGTCGACTTACTAAGTTATGGGAGGAGTTGCAGAACATGAAGACGACTCGTCCTTGTACATGTGCTGCTGCGGTCGACATAGAAAAAGAAAGAGAAGATGCTAAGATTCATAAGTTCTTGTTTGGACTAGATGACTCAAGGTTCGCTGCGATACGCTCTCGTATTACTAATGAGGATCCGCTTCCGGATCTCAATATTGTTTATTTACGGGTTATTCGTGAAAAACATAATATGGCATCTAGTCTTTCTACAGAACAGCGAATAGAGGCTCTAGGTTTTGCAGCCAAAGCAGAGTCTCCAAGGAACTCCTCTCTTACTACAACTGAAACGGCTCCTTCACGCTCAAGGGATCCTTCATGTTCTTGTACTCATTGTGGCAGGACAGGCCATGATATCACCGAATGTTTTCTGGTTCACGGCTTCCCTGAGTGGTACCAGGAACAACAAAAACGCAACTCCAGCTCAAACTCATACCGAGGAGGACGGGGTGGTCGGTCAAACAGAAATTGAGGACGTGGGCGTGGACGAGCTAATGATATACAAAGCACTTCTCAAATCAACCAGGATCAAATCGCATCCTTGATCTCTCTCTTGCAGAACCAGCAGAGCAATCTCTCTTCAGAACGTTTGTCGGGTAAAACAACACTTTCTGATGTTATTATTGACACAGGGGCTTCACACCATATGGCGGGTGATCTCACACTTCTCCATGATGTTCATGACATCGTATCATCCTCTGTTACGTTCCCTAGTGGACGAGAATCCCGTGCTACTAAACAAGGAACCTTACGTCTTAGTAAATACTATGTGCTCCGCGACGTCCTCTTTGTCCCTGATTTTTATTGCACTCTTATTTCAGTGTCCAAACTGTTGAAACAAACTGGATGCATAGCAATATTCACTGATACATTATGTGTTTTACAGGACCGTTTTTCGAGGACTCTGATTGGAGCAGGTGAAGAACGTGAGGGGCTTTACTACTTTACGGGGGTTAAGGTTGCACGCAGTCATAGAGCTTCGAAAACTAAAACTTCTGCTTCAACTCTGTGGCATCGTCATCTTGGCCATCCATCCTACAAAGCTTTGTCTACTCTACCGGTGTTTAAGGATTTTAAAATAGATTTTAGTGATTCTCAATGCGATATTTTATGGTGGAAACGATATTGCCACCTTTGAACGATTCAAGAACTACTTACACAAATGTTTCAAGATGAAGGATCTGGGAAAATCGAAATATTTTCTTGGCTTGGAGATTGCACGAGGGCCTGAAGGAATATTTGTGTCTCGGAGGAAATATGCTCTTGATATAATTACAGAGTGCGGCTTACTTGGTGCAAAACCGGAACCAGTCCCTACAGAACTGAACCACAAACTCGCTTTGGCTAAAGGAATGAGACTTCAAGATCCAGGAAAATATCGACGTCTGGTGGGGCGTCTTATTTACCTCACATTTACTTAGCCTGAGCTTAACTACATTGTGCATATCTTATCACAATTTATGCACAAACCTATGGAGGATCACTGGATTGCAGCTTTACGGGTGGTTCGTTATTTAAAAGGATGTCCCGACCAAGATATAATGTTATCTTCTGACGCCAATTTGAGCCTTGCCCTTATTCTGATTCGGACTGGTCTGCGTGTCCCCTTACGCGAAGATCTCTTAGTGCATATGTTGTTGTGCTGCTTGGCGACGCTCTTGTTTCTTGGAAGACTAAGAAGCAACGCACTGTGTCTCGATCATAAGCTGAGGCAGAATATCGATCAATGGCAGATGCTACTTGTGAATTAAAGTGGCTACAACGTCTTCTTCTCCACTTTGGTTTTTCTCACCCCAAGCCTATGCGACTGTTCTGTGATAGCCAATC